TTCTCGACTCATTTCAAGTTGAGATTAAATTTTAGATAGACATGTAATCATCTGCAAATCATGTTCAAACTGCCGAGTTTCTGTTTCTGAATCATTGGTTTAACGAACTGCCAACCAAACCAAACCAAGCCTTAAGTCCCATCAAATGGGGTCGGCTACATGAATCCTTCTTCTTCACGCGGTCCTATCAAAGGCCATTTCATTAGTCAAATTAAGTAGATTCATATCTCTATTTATAACGCTAGTCAACGTTAATCTAGGTCTACTCCGTCCGCTAACACTTCCATCTACCGTTACAGCATCGCATCTCTTCACTACTGCCTCTGTTGGTCTCCATTGAATATGACCAAACCATCTCAAACGATTCTCTCTCAACTTATCTTCTATCGGTGCTACTCCTATCCATTCCCGAATACACTCATTCCTAATCTTGTCCTGTCTACTCTTACCACACATAACGAACTGCCAACCATGCATATCAAAACCCCAATGTTTAGGTTTCAAATTAAGACAATCATTATAACACCCAAAGCATGTAAAACGCTAAATATGAACCCAACAAAGTAATCAAAAATTTATTTTTAATGTAATTCACATTGCGTTATATATTTTATTTTTTTACCACTTTATAAACAATTTTTTCTAGTTCCCTTGCTCTTTTCAATGCTAAGGCCTCATTTGTCAATTATACATTTTAGACAAAAAGTTAAAAAAATCATTATAAATTGTCACATCACTCTCTATTTTTCTATACATTTTTTTGTAAAAAGTTAAAAAAATTATTAAAATAACATATTCCCAAACGAGACTCAAATTCTCACCTAGCGCATTCAAGTATATCTTCCTAGCTAAAGTTGAATGATACACACCAAACACCAAAGGTTAAAGGTTGGATTGGGGTAAGTGGGTAATTATTTACTCATCCGAGCACATTATATGATATTGTTTATATAGTATTATAAATCAATATGTAACGGAAAAATTTACGAATAAGACATATTGACTCACCTCCGTTAAATTGTTAGGAGATAAAAGATGTTACAAATTTTTATTAACCTAAAATACCACATAGACAATTCGGGGTAATAGTTTTAAAATATCTAAAAACTTTTCCTAGTAAAGTTTGTGACATAGGATATGTTTTGGGCCTTTTAAATAAGGATGGGCTTTGCATTGGTCACAAAAGATAGCGAAACATGATCCTTATAGTCCACCCCAAGTAATGGGCTGCTCACTTCTTCAACTAGATTTTTAGCCCAAATCTATGTAAAAGTTGGAGTTTAACCACAAAGATAAGCCCAACTATAATGCCCATAGAATTTTGGGGAACTTACTGATAAGTCCCATGTACTAAGTTCAAAACCCAGCTAATCCCAAAACAAAATACTTGCACCAATTAGTCCAATACATCTTTAATTGTTACCAAAAAATCCTTTTTTTTTTTTAATTTACAGACACTGTTCACATCTTATTACCGTCGGACTTCCGTCAAATGGTCGCCGGAGACTCGTCGGAATGTTCAACATCGCCGGAGACTCGTCGGAATGTTTAAAACATGTTATGAAACTGTAAAATTTTATAGTTCTAAAAAATGTTATAAAACTGCAAAATTTTACAGTTTTAAACCATGATTCATTCCAGCACCAAAAAAAAAATTGAAACTGCAAAATTTTATAGTTTTCACCACCTGTAACTAAAACTCGAAAATTATTTGTTCAGAATTCGAAAATTTTCTCATTACAAATCTGTGTGATATCTGTACAAATCTGAGTCATTACAGATCTGTTTCAATGATATTATAGATCTATTTTATCATCAACAACAACAACCATAGATCAACAACTATCCCAAAAAAAATCTGTAAATAGAGAGAGAAAGAGAGAGAAATTGACAAAGATATATAAACAAATCTGTTCAATCTAAGCACAGATCTGAGGATGAGTGTCTTCTTGTTCTTGTTCTTCATTGTCTTCTTGTTCTTGTTCTTTATCGCCTTCTTGTTTGACTTTAGGACTGAGATTAGGGTTAGAGGAGGAGGCCTAAAGAGGGAAGCAAAAAGCAGAGAGAGGGGGGAAAGGACTTTTGGGTGTACTCAAAAAGTTATGGAATTAAATGGTGTCCACATGGGACCTATGGGTAATTTTCCCTAGAATTTTCTTGAAATTTGTATCTTGGGCTCCCTAGTTGTTATTCTTTACCCAATAATACATCTCTTCATTAAAAAATAAAAACAAAAAAATTATTACAACGGTTATACCATGACATTATTATTGTGTCACCATCTAGTTATAGTCTATCGTTAGGGGTAGCTCGGCTTAGGCTCCCACTAAAATTCAGGTCGAGTTGGCCCACAAGCCAGAAAATTAAGCCCAGACCCAGAGGATATTCGGGTCTCAAATGGTCTAGTGGGCTTGGGCTTGGGCTTGGGCTTGGGCTTGGGCCGGACTTGAATATTTTAAAAAAAAATTCTATTTTTTTAATCAAAATTTTATTCTTTTCCACTGAAAATAACATCGGACCTTGAGCCAAGTTTTGAGTGAGCTTTGAGCGAACTGATGTACTGGGCCATGGTCCCATGGGCCGAGCCAGACTTCAAAATTATGGCCTAGGGCCAAGCCCAAGGTCTTGGGCTGAGCTCGAGCTTGGGCCTACCTAACTAAGCTGTGGACGGATTGCAGGCCGCCCATGGGTCGTAGGCCAAATTTACGCCCCTATCTACCATGCAAGCATGATGTACTTACAAGTTACAATGTATGCTTGCACTTACAATGTAGATGTAGAATGTTTGAAAACCAAATATTTTAGTCAAAAAATTTTAAAAAATTATTACAAGTTATCAGATCAGTCTTTTTTTTTTTTTTTTTTTGCATGTTTTTCTTAAAAAAATAAAATAAAAAATTATTTAAAAAGTCAATTCCCAAAGGAACCCTAAGTTAGCAGGTTGAGTTGGAAAGTAGTTTATACATAATAGGTTCACCTTCCTATATAGTGTTTTATTATTGAATGATAATATTATATATCAATAACAACGTGTATCATCAAAAAATTGATAAAAAGTCCAACTATTGATGTGGTTTGGGACGAAAGTCCAAACTTTAGTCTTTGCTGTTATAAGGACATATGAATGGCATTCTTGGTTGGTAAATTGTGGTGATAATGATAATTCTTGACATTATTGTCCTTTATGTGTATTTTGTGCTAAATTTTTTTTAAAATCTCATAACTTGAGTTTTACACTTTCATTTTTAACAAAATTAATATCTGTTACTTTGTTAGATCTTTTAAACAAGATCAACATTAAATATGAAACAATGAAACATGTTTTGGTTAATAGATTGATTTTTTGGTTAATTAAATTAAAACAAAGAAAGAACATGTTTTGGTTAATTTTGAATGGACTCGAAAAAAAAAGTATGGAATAAAAAAAATTGTCTAAAATGGATTACTGAGCGCAAAGTTATGACCTACTGAAGCTATAACACCATAAACAAATTTTTTTTATACCATCAGATATCTATCTATTAAAATTATTTTAACCTATTTATGTTACTATTTTTGTCTATCTATGCAAATTTTTTGAACCTATTTGTTTCCATATTTGAACATGTATGCAAATTATTTTAACATATTTGTTTTAATAATTTTAATGTATCTATCCAAATTATTTTAACCCATGTAAATCAATATTTTTACCTATCTATGCAAATTTTTTGAACCTATATGTCTCCATATTTTTAACATATCTATCTAAATTATTTTAACCTACATGTCTCCAGTTTATAAACTTAATTGTTCAAATTATTTTACTTGTTTTTCCATAATTTGGACAGATAAAAATTCATTTATGGCGTTAAAATTTCAACATGTCACTTTACACTCAGTAGTTCATTTTAAACAATTTTTATTTTATTTCATGTATATTTTTAAGATCTATCCCTCTAAACAACGGAAAGCAATTTCGAGCGCTTACTTTAACAAAAAAAAAAAAAATACTATTTTGCCGTTTTGATTGAAAAAATCATTTAACACTTTTTTTTTTTAAACTTCATATTTAATATTAACCTTATTTGAAAGATTTCGAAAAAAACAAATCTACATATATCAATTTTATTAAATGTAAGTATTGCCAAATAAATTTAAAAATTAAATTTACCAACTCCAAAAGATATAAGTACTAAAATTAAAAAAAAATAAATAAATAACAAACAATTACTAAAAAGTATTTATTTTAATTTTTTCATACATTGATTTGTTGTTAAATTTAACTTTATGAAACATTTAAAACAAGAGCATTGGCTGCATCAATGGCTGTGCTTGATCGCTCTATTAAGCTCATTTTATTGCAAAGAGATTTACCAGCCTGTTGTGGCTAGGGCTGACTGGAAACGAACTAAGCCGAACGAAACTAAATTTTAATATGTTTAGATTTGTTTATTAAAATTTTAACGAACTCGAACTCTAACTCAATAAAAATTTAACAAACCAAGCTTGAGCCAAATCGATTTAGACTTGACTCGAGTTCAAGCCTGTTCATGAGCCTTAGTAAGTCAAAAAATTTATAAAATTTATACTTGCGTATGAGACTAAAGTTACCATTAAACTTTGATTATATAATTATATATACAATATATATAAACATACTAAAAAAATTAATATTTTATCAAAATAATAATATCTACTACACTATTATATAAATGTACTACCTATAGTTAACTATTATTTACATTTGCATTATTTAATAAATATTAAACGAGTCAACTAACGAGCCGAGCTTACGAGCCAAGCTTTAGAATGTTTAGACTTATTTATTAAAAATTTAACGAGCTCGAGCTCGAATGCAAAAAAAATTTAACGAACTAAGTTCAAACGAGCCCTTACCAAGCCAAGCTCGAGCCTATTCACGAACGGCTCTATTCATTTGCAGTCCTAGTTGTGGCTGACCTTTTCCGGTTTGTCTGGTTCAACTGCCTGATCCAATCCAGTTTTCAAAATCATGAATCTCACTAAAGAACTGCTTATGCTGACTACATTATTCAACATCTGAGCACCATCAGTTTTGTCAAATCTGGTGTCTATCTTACCTTCATACACATTTAAGCACTAATTTTGCAAAGAAAAAGAAAAAGGAAAAAAAACTGCATCAAGAACCCTACAAATTTCCCCACTTATATTTTAGTTCGTCCTTCCCGAGTCAGAATCCAGTTCAATGTTATGTACAAAATAATCTGTGTCCAACAATGGAATAATTGATTATCCCTATTGATACTAGGTGTTTTTCTTTTATTTTTTTAATTTTTCTTTAATTGTACTCCTTTATGCCAATCTTTATACAATTTCACGTTGCTAGTACCAGCACTTTAATTGTTCCCTGACTGTTTGCAGCCAACATTGTCGGGCTATCACTCTTCCAGCATACAGCACTAATGAAATAAGATCCGGCATCTTCATCAGTATCATCCATCTCCTGTGAACCAAATTTATGCCGAGTCACCTGTCTTGAGATTGCCTGCAAATCCCAAAATTTTGATTAGTTTTACGTTTTAATAGATCAAAAATGGCTCAAGCAATAAACAAATACTTAACCTTATGATAAACAAATACTAAACCTTATGATAAACAAATACTTCATTTGTTTCACTGCCACAAGCAATATAACCGCTGTTTACCGTAAGACCCACAAAATTCTTTTCATTTGTATGGCCCCTAAAGGTACGAACCTGGACGCATCACACAAAAAAACAAAAAATCCCATCAACCAACTTAAAAAAAGAAACTTTAATAATGCAACTCCATATAGAAAGATGAGATTCAACAAACCACAATATATTCTCAATATTTTATCTTGGTTCGTAGTTGGCTAGAACCCCTGCACGTCACTAGGAAGTCAAGGGAAGGGTTCAAGTCTTGAATGTGGCAAGGCTTCCTCTCCCAGGCTACGGCCTCCAATATACAGGAAAAAGCGAGTGCTTTATTTTGGTTCATATACTTAATTCTTAAAACTCATTAGAATCTTGTTTAGCGTTTACTCTCTTAACATAAGTTTCATGAAAAATTTACGTTGGTAAGTCTGAGAACTTTCTGTAATGCAGTTTATAAACTTAATTCAGTCAGTCTGTAATATGTGTAATCTTCATTCAATTATGCAAACGCAAGTTTCCACACAACTATATATGACAATTTGACATAACTACATAATCGAGTTTCACTTTTCTAGATAAAACAAATTCACTTCCCTACCCTGATTCAGTAGAATTTACACCAGGACTGCTTTTATTAGACCCTAAAATTCCAATTAGCATATAAAACCGGTGCTTGACAGCTTAATATACATTGTTGGGTCAATTTCCTAGTAATTTAAGTTTCTTAGACTAGTGGTGATCTAAAATAATATCAAAGCTCAAGTTGGGAGAAGTCGAGGGTTGAAGTCTCTCCATTTGCATTTGTTCCTGTTTGCATTCTTTCTTCTTTGTATGAATATGGATGCTTGCATCTTCACGTGCAAGATGAGCTTGCACATGAGAGAGGGTGTGCTTAATATACATTGTTGGACCCATTTCCTAATAGCTTAAGCTTCTGGGACTAGTAGTTTTCACATGTCGGGCTCATTTTCTAACAACTTAAGCTTTTGGGAGTAGTGGTGATATAATGCCCAAGAGACGGTTTCTTCAGTTATACATGCCAGCCAATGTGTAATCTATGAAATCACACTTGCACTGATTGCAAAATAAAGTGAAATATTTTCATAAACATGTTACCGGCAAATTCTCCTTCACATCCCACAAACGTAATGTACTGTCAGTAGATGCAGACGCAAGCTCATCATTGGATAAAAATTTCACATACGAAACAGCTTTCCTATGTCCACTGAACACATGGAGCGGCTGGCTAGCATTTCTCAAATCATAATAGTGGATATGATGGTCTGCAGAGCCAACCTGCAAAAAGTTAGGAAGGTGTATACACAGTGAGTCTTTTTTGTTTCAAATGAGGAAACCAGAATGACTATCATGTCTGTGCCGTTCGATGAAACTACAAACGATTGTTACTAACAACAGGAAGCCATGCTTAAAAAGAATTTGCTTAACATGGCTACATGAGGTTTTGATATGCCTAGCTTGTATTGACAGCGAGCGTCTAAACTACACGTGACACATTTCAATAGCATGGGAAAGCAGAAAATAAGGCCCCACATAAACCAAGGGTGGTTCCGTGCTGTGTTTTACAGGAAGGCATTGTTTGATCTTTTGAGAGTGATGTCCTAATGAGACATGGCACAATTTCCATGGCACAGAAGAGCAGAAGATGGGCCCAACAAGAACCAAGGTTGGAATCATAAACAAACTCATCCCAGCAGGGATCTGGATCCTCTGCAGTGCCCTACCAACCAGATTTGACTGGAAAAGAAGTTCAGTGGTGCATCCTCCTCGACACTCACGGTAAAAAAAATAAAAATAAAAACAAAATAAACGAGGAAAGAAAGAAAGTAATGATAGGAAACAAAAAAGACGAGGATGGAGATGCTGAGTTGACTAGAAGAATACCGCAATGTGACTGCTAGATCCAGGATTGTACTTGACACAGCAAATGTTCGCTTTCATGTTGATGTTAAGAACACTAGCTTCCTGCTTTGTGCACCATAGTTTGACCTGTTAATAATACAGATAACAGTATGGTTAGCGTAAATGGAAAAGCAATTGAAGTTTGCCCCCATACAATTCATGACTTGGTAAAGTACACAAACAACAACCTCTATTCATCAGACATGAAAATAGAGTGAACAGTCGGCCCAAATGTATGACTTACAAATTTAGTGATAAGGTCCTTCCAGCTTGCCCAATTTCATCTCACAACACTAGCAAATTTCTAACTTTTCAATTCCAGCTTATTTGTGGAACTGGGGTATTGATACAATCCCCACTACGTGTCATTTTTAGAAAAAGGCTGAGATTTTTTTTCCTATTTTTCTCTTGGGGGTATTTCATTTGTGTGCAGATGTGTGAACACGGACACTGTTTCTTCCCTATGAAGCAAATCGATGGCTCCAGTGTGTGTCTCCAGCTTTTTTTATTGCAGTGCATGTAACAACCAACTTTAAAATATTGTTGTGTGAAATTTTCTGTTATCAAACAGCACACAGAATCTTGAAAAAGATTTTGTTCAATCTGGAAGTAACAATGAGTTCCTGTACCATACACAGCTGTATTGATACAAGTTCATTATTTCTTTACTCTGCCATTTGCTTCGGTATGCATTAAAACTAAGCTAAACACAAAACTAACTGGTATTGGTCTAGCAGTAGCTAATGGCTATTAGCAGAGTGCACACTGAACTCAAAACCCCATTGCCCAAAGAAACAAATAACTAAACAAAATTGGAACACAGTTGGACCTTATTCATCAAAGAAAAAGTATATTATCTAGTACAGACTTAGAAAATCAAATGCTCTATCCAACAGTTCTAGCCACAACCCAGGTATTTTTTTTTCCCAATAAAATGACTAATAAAAAAAACAGGTAAGACTAGTTTAAGGACCTTGCAATCATCACTGCCAGAGACAAGCATAGAGGGTTCTGTGCGTGAAAAATCAACACTCCATGCCCGTTTCTCATGTTCCTCGTATTCCATTACACTCTGGAAAAAGAAAAAAAAAAACATATGTAGTTAAATCAACAACATCCATAGCACTAATTGATATATGGCATATATAACATTTCCATGCAAGACCAGAAAAAACTAATCGTGGCAATTTCATAATTACCTGCCTCGTGGTGACATCCCAAACAGTTACTATTCCATCATAATCACTACTAGCAATATGGTTCTTAGTAAACTTGTTCCAACTCAAGCAACTAAGTTTTGATCGTGTTGACATCTCCACAACAGGGGTGTGCACATCTGCAGGTTCATTTACAACCTGATACATGGAAGCAAAAAGACCAATTAAATGATAACATCTTTATGCGAGTAAGTGAGCAACTATCCATTAACTTCTGCATAGTCACCATGTGTACTACTGAAACCAAAGATAGACCCACTTGGGAAAAAAAAATACATACCGAAGAGAAGTCAAAAATCTTTATACGTCTCGAAACTCCAGCAGTAGCAAACAACTCATCGTCACGGTCAAATTCTATGCTGCAAGCAGTAAGACATGAACAGTTTTAGAATTTTGGTGGATATGATTCTTCTAGAAGACCAAGGAAGCACTGTGAGTGTCATGGAGCATGCAATAAGAAGGTGCAAATCTAAAATTTCCCAAGGAGCATGTTCAGGGTGTCAGGAAATTAAGTTTTAGATTAGTTTCAAGTCTGACTATTTTAACACAGTGCTGATAGATTTGTTTGTGTATTATTAGGTTTAATTTTGCAATTTGCTAGACATAGACTGCGGAAGTGGTCCATTGGTCTGCTTAAGGGTGAAGTTTCAGATCTTTAAATGGTTTATAGTATTGTTCTAATTTTAACGTCCAATAAAATATCTAGGTAATTCTTAAAGGAAATCTATAGCAACTTAAAAATATCTATGTAATTTTTATATTTGATAGAATAAAGTTGATGAAAACTTGACATGGTGCTTTTTTCAATTTGCCTAACCCTAGCAAGAGTGAAATGATGCTGCTTCTTATCCTCCTCTCTTATTTCGAAGAAAAAAAAAATTAATGTTCTTAGGCTACTATTTACAGCCACAAAACACTCCAATTAAGCCTAACCAATCAAGCCTAACCAACCCTCATTCCCCTACCTTCTGGTCTCTAAATCAGCACAAAATCCATAAAATCGTTGTTGTTCTGAGAGTTCCAGCACATATGCCCTGAAAATTTCTGCAACCAAACACTTGAAGAAACCATGCAGTCATCACTCTTTTCCATCTGCAAATCCCTGATTTATACTTCTAGCCTAAACATTAAAACCTTAAAATACAACATTTCCTTGCCCTCAAACTACCAAGTATCCTAAATTTGTCCTACTTCAAGGAGAGAAGCTTCATGTGGATAGAAATACTCAAGAACATGTTAAACATATAAAGGAATCCAAGTTTAACAGAAAAAATGTGTCAGAAAATACTATCCAAGTAACCAACCACAGCTTAACCATGTCTGGCCCAAAGTTCAGGAATCGAAACCTCTTACGTGCTTACAATTCCATGGGGCAATCAGACTGAGAGAAAACCCTTGAATTAACCGTGGTGCACTTGCGGGAAACTCCTTACCGAGGGCCTATGCACCCTTGGGGATTAGCCAGACACCCCAGTGCCAATAAGAAAAAAAAAAAGGTGCCAACTGCCAGCCTCACATCCGTTCACAACGAGAGTTTGCAAACCAAAGTTATATTTATAGGTCTTTAATCATAATGAAGAAAACAAACAAATAACTATTTACCCTTCATAATACAACTAAACTCCACAATCCATACTACAACAATTTGGCTTTGGTTTCACTTCCGTTGTTTTCATTTTAGGTCTTGCTCTCTGTGGAAACACAGAGACCAGATAACCACATTTTTCTCAGAGACTTGACACGCCTTTTTATGGCTCCCTCCAGTTCCCATAAGGCTCTCAACTTAAACCAGATACATCGTTTTTACTTCATGTATACAACATGGTTTCCAAACCACCAAGGGTGCCAATTCATTGTTCAACTAAGATTGTCTAAGGCAGATTCAATCAAGTTCAAACAGAGATCTCTTGTTTACAATTCAATGTCACATAAATATTTCATATAATTTTATATCCAAATTCACCTGTTCAAACAATGAAAAGCAATTGGGTTTGTCCATATCATACAGCATAACATATTACAACACAGTCATCATACATCTTGTAATGAAACTTAATCATAACCACTGGATACATAATAGAGACCCTATGATATCTAGCTGCCTCCACCTGACCCACATTGCCTTTTTAAGCCCTGTGGGCAGCTTAAGGGACTAGATTTCACTGTTCTCATAAAATGCCAAAGCAAGTTCCCAAAATTGACCTTTTTGAGTGCTCAAGCAGCTTAAGGGACTAGGCTTTCACATGATTTTCATAAACCAAACCAAACCAAACCAAGCCAAGCCTTAAGACCCATCAAATGGGGTCGGCTACATGAATACTTCTTCTCCACGCAACCCTATCGAAGGTCATTTTGTTAGTCAAATTAAGTAGATCCATATCTCTATTTACAACGCTAACCAACGTTAATCTAGGCCTACTCCTACGCCATCCCCTAACACTCCCATCTACCGTTACAGCATCGCATCTCTTCACTACTGCCTCAGTTGATTTCCGTTGAATGTGACCAAACCATCTCAATCGATTCTCTCTCAACTTATCTTCTATCGGTGCTACTCTTACCCATTCCTGAATACACTCATTTCTAATTTTGTCTGGTTTAATCTTGCCACACATCCACCTTAACATCATCATCTCAGCCACACTCATTATCTACATGTTATTTCTTGGTTGCCCAACACTCCGTCCCACACAACATCGCGGGTCTAATAGCTGTTCTATAGAACTTACCTTTTAGTCTAGTAGGCATTCGTTTATCGCATAGTACCCCAAATGTACTTCTCCACTTACACCATTCTGCCTTAATCCTATGGGCCACATCCGCATCAATCTCTCCCACTGTTGTGATAATCGACCCTAAATAATGAAAATATTCACTCTTTGGCAGTTCTTGGTTCTCAATCTTCACTTCTCCTCTGCTTTCATTGTTACTGTTACTAAATTTACACTCCATGTACTCTGTTTTAGTTCTGCTTATCCGAAATCCTTTAGATTTAAGAGCTTTTCGCCAAATCTCCAACTCTGTGTTAACTCATTCTCTAGTCTTATCCACTAGCACAATATCGTCTGCAAAAAGCATACACCATGGCACGTCATCTTGAATATTTCACGTCAACTCATCCATAACTAAAGCAAAAAGATAAGGACTTAAGGTAGATCCTTCGTGTAACCCTACAGTGATAGGAAATTCATTTGTCTCTTCAGCAGGTGATCTAATAGTGGTCACCATCCCTTCATACATGTCTCTAATCACATCAATGTAACCTTTTGTCACCCCTTTCTTCTCTAACACTCACCATATTATATCCCGGGGCACTCTATCATATGTTTTTCCAAAGTCGATAAGCACCATATGAATGTCTCTTTTCTTTTCTCTATACTTTTCTATTACTCTCCTGAAAAGATAAATCGCTTCCATTGTTGACCTGCCAGGCATAAACCCAAATTGATTCTCTAACACCTCTGTTATATCTCGCAATCGGCATTCTATCACCCTCTCCCACACTTTCATTATATGACACATTAGCTTGATTCCTCTATAGTTGTTGCAATTTTGGATATCTCCTTTATTCTTATAAATTGGTACTAAAATACTCTTCCTCCACTCATCTGGCATGTTCCTAGTCAACAAATTTTTGCTAAACAACCTAGTCAACCAAACAACCCTCTTTTTACCCAAACACTTCTAAGCTTCAATAGGGATATCATTGGGTCCTAATGCCTTATTTGATTTCATTTTATTAAGTACAATCTCCACTTCAAAATTCCTAATCCTACGATAGAACCTATAGTTTAGGTGTATCGTATTACTGGCTATTTCTTCCCCTAATAGTTTCTCAAAATAGTTCTTCCATCTTTCTTTAATCTCTTCATCCTTCACCAATACCTTAGAATCCTCTCACTCTTGATGCACTTAACTTGATTAAAATCTCTTGTTTTACTCTCCTATATCTTAGCAAATTTGTATACCCTCTTGTCTCCCTCCTTACTATCAGTCTAGTGTATTGGTCATCATAAGCTTTCAACTTAGCCTCCCTCACTACTTTTTTGACCTCCTAATTAGTCAATCTATAACTCTTAAGGTTTTTCCCAGTTCTATCATTCTATCACTTTTTAAAACACTCTTTTTTTGCCTTAACTACCGCTTGAATCTCTTCCCTCCACCACCAAGTTTCCCTAGAGCTGGGTCCCGTCCCTTTCGACTCTCCAAGCACTTCTCTTGAGATTCTCCTCATACAATTGGCCATCGAGTTCCCAAGTACCTTCCTTATCCATTCTATTCTTAAATATTTATAGTTTATCCCTTTTTAGGTCCCACCATCTCGTCCTACGACGCCTACCATCCTTCCTAGCTTGGTATTGCCCTTTAAAACATAAATCTAATATCAAAATCCTATATTGAGAGGTCAGGCTCTCTCCAGGAATCACCTTACAATCATTGCATTTTGGCGGTCCACTTTTCTCACTAAGAAGTAATCTATTTGGCTCTTAACTGAATCACTCTTAAAGGTGATCAAATGCTCCTCCCTCTTCTTATATATAGTATTGGCCACCACCAGGTCAGAAGCCAACGCAAAATCTAAGATACTCTCTCTAGCCTTATTTCTGTCACCAAAACCGTATCCACCATGCACCCTTTCATAGCCAAGGTTATCTAAGCCTACATGGCCATTAAAATCTCCACCTATAACCAGGTTCTCTCCTACGGGTATCTCCCGTAAGATCTCATCTATTTGCTCCCAAAAATCACTCTTAGTCTGATCATCTAATCCTACTTGAGGGGCGTATGCACTAATAACGTTCACTATATTCTCTCCAATAACTAATTTAACTAACATAATCCTATCCCCTTTCCTAATGACCACCAAAATACCAATCACAAATACACTAATAGAGGAATTAATTTCTCCGGTTAAGAAACCAAAATTTTTAAGCTTTTTTATATTGTCATGTAGAAAAACTGCTCCAGTACATATTAAAAACGTGATTAGTATTTATTCCTTCAACAAATGTTTCCATGAAAATACGTAAGTTCATCTTTGAAAACTTGGATACAATCATAACACAAACAATTATCTTACCTTGATACAATATTGGCCGAATGAAAAAGATCCCCATGCCTAAGTTCAGCGATGACCCTTAGTCGACTGCTTCAGATGAATTTAAAAATTCATGTGAGCTGTAAGTTGAAGACAATAATAGCATGGAAAAATCTTCCCATGAAGGAAGCACTGACAACCATACCTGTACCGTGTGAAGGTACTCAGCACAGATTGAAACTCAGTTAGTCCTGCAGTATAACCTTCTCTATGTATGATATTTGTATCCCTTTCTTCCTGCTTAAGTGGGTGGTTTGCCAACTGCCGTCGCTTTTGTAAGTAACACTCTTGTAGGTCATTGAACTGCAGCAACGTAAGAAAAGAAGATAAATCCAGACAAGGAACGAACTAAATTGTAACAAATTACAACAGTATAGGGAATAGTTTCACAACAATCACAGCAATAGAATCTAAGCCACGTATATATCAATGTTGTCCACCAGGACAATCTGTCTTTTCATGTAACCCCTTGTGGAAGTTCCAAGCTTTACAGCGGAAAATTAACACAGATACAATATACAAACAGGAAATCTTTAAAATTTTAAATGGTGAAAAAGGGAACTCATGTAACCAAACACAAGTAAGTGGGTTAAGGCTTTGTTGAGCTGAATGAAGTTCACTATACTTCGCAAGGTGTCAATAGCAAGCCCGTTTCATTGTGAAAACATAGGCGACAGAACAGCATTCTTTAACTGTTCTTGTACCAGAAAGACAAAGGCCTAGCATGGTAAAAAAAAATTGAAGATACATTATTTAAATTGTGCATATATAAATACTAATGCATGTTAAGGTGCCAGTTGACTGATGCTTAATTGATTTTATGGTCCAACCATGCTTGAACAACTACAAATAATATGAAAGCCATATGACAAAGACCAATTACTGGCCAAGATTTCTACAAATGAAGCCTTCAAAAGATTACTAACCTGAGCATGGACGCGCTTTTTCCTTGCTACAGCAAGACTCGATTGACTCACATGTTCTGAACCCATTCCACTCAAGGTATCCTTTGCCTGGGAAGCAAGGGTGTTTACTTGAGCCTTCCCATCTGCTTTCTTGTACAGAAAATTTCCCATACCCAGCCCTCCTTGTGCATTACGAGAACTAGACATAAAGCCGCTATTATTCTTAGCAAATGGTGAAGGCCAAGATTTTGTTGCTGTAGGATCATCAGAAAGCATCCGCAGCTTCACTGAATACCTGTCCCTTGCCCGATACAACTCTATTCTATGTCTCTCCACAGCATTTATGTCCTCTTTGATAAACTGGAGATCATTTTGTATCTAAACAAGCAGCAGACACACATCAATCTAGTAACCCATTTAATTGTTTCAGTGAAAGAAGGTTTTCATCTCAATTGTTAAAAATGATTAATTATTAGGACAGAAGCACATTTTAGATGAAGCCTTGGCAACTGATTTAATATCACTCCTATTGGAAAATAATCTATTAAGATGGTAAAGAGGAGGACCCTAGTAGAATAAATCTCACAAGTCACAACTATACATTTAAAAAAGAAAAAGCATAATACTCAGCTTCCCTCCCTTTAACAAAAAAGAAAAGAACAAAGAAAATAAAAGACAACAAAAACATACAAGAGATTACTGTATATATAAATGTAGAATGACTGAACATCAACACATATATCGAATTATAAGTAACAAACCTCATTTAGTTCATCAACCTTCTGTTTCCTTAGGCAGTACAAGAAGTCAAATAGGATTTGCATATTTCTCTCGGCTTCTTCTTGCTCCAATTTTCTCTTTTTCTCTGCAAGCAGCGTCAACAGGGTGTCCAGCTCTTTAACCGACACTTCACAACCCTGTCTAAAGGTCGCAAGTAAGAGTTGCATTTATACTTGTTTACATTAAAAATATTATTTGATACAGTAGAAATTGTACTTACAAGCAAATCCATTCTTTGCTACATTCTAAGAATGCAATGAAACACAATTTCATTAGACAAATGCCAGATACAGGGCCAAGAAATTCCATTTCACACCAATCAAGGTACAGATTATCCATTCCAATCAACAATAGGCCCTCAGAGATGAGTAGCACCCTTGGTGCTTGTGTAACTGTTTTACGTATCCTTTTATATGTAACAGGTATGCCCCAGTGATCATGTACTCAATTGTTTACATCAATAAAATTTCCACTTACATCTAAGAAGCGCGAACACGCCGACACGGCAATTTTCAAAAAATGCAAGACACGACACGTGAGCAACACACACAAAATATATAATTTTATATATTTATAATATGTCATATATATGAATATATCATTTCAAGACAATAAATGCTATATAACAATAATTTCCATAAATGGACATTGTTTTTCTTTTGTCATCGTATTCTAAATTATTTTGTTCAAACTTATAATCAGTTTCATGTATACCTAATCAATGGATATGTGTGTTTAAGCAATGGGCACGTGTGTCCTCCAAGCGTCTGAATCTAACCCCAAAAAAATAAATAAATAAATAAAAAATAAAAAATAAAATAACACATTTAGATGAGTATCGGACACCTGTTCCGACATGGACATACCACCTTTTTAGAAGTGTTTGTGCTTCTTAGTGTGACAATAATAATATTTCCTCCAAATATAAGAAAGCTTCAAAATACCACAACTGCAAACAGTTCATTTGGAGTAGAAACAAATGAAATAATTTGTACCTTGATTCCACTAAACCTTCTACTAAATTTAGCCATATATGTATATCCATACATGATTATATTCTATAACAATTAACAAATATCTATACAATCAAATAAATGCCAAATTGCAACTGCCATCAGAAGATGACACTGAATAACAACTGACCTGTTGCATTGCCTGACGAAATTGTTCTACAGGGGATGCAGTTTTTGATATTTGGCGAGCAGAGGTCTTCTTCAATAGCTACAAATGTGGCACAGAGAAATCGTATAACAATAAGCTGCATTTTGAAGGAGATAATTTCAAGATACAAATCATTGTCAAATGAACAAATTAACTTGCTGGCAGATTTGCTACAGATTACAGTTAGAAGACAAGTATGTGCTTCAACAAATTCAGTGATAGCACCAATATGCTAATAGTAGTAATAATAATATAAAAAGGGAAACTCAATACAAGTGAGGAGCCAAGTATATTAAGGTTTAAAGAGTTTTCTTTGAAGTGTAGGCTTTTCAAGTCAGCTAATATTCGTCTGATAGCAATTCCACTCAGCATCCTCTCCCCCAAAAATAATAACAATAAAATTAAGGGAAAAAATCAAATAAGTCCTACTTTTAATAATGTTGACTGAAGGGAAAATAAGTTATAATTAGGGAATATAGTGTTAACAGGACTATATATTTCAGGAATATAGTTTCTCAACATATTGTTAATAGGACCCAATGAAAATTTCAAGAAAAAAGTGAACTTATTCAGAATATTCCCAAAATTAATCCAGTATTCAATGAGAATAGATAGCACTACCCTCAGAATAAAAATTAGAAAATAATAAATGAAGGAACCAAAACCTTAAACCTCCCTCCCTCTCTCTCTCTCTCTCTCTCTCTCTCTCTCTCTCTCATAACAGCTCCTGGTATCACCAGCATACAAATAAGGAGGCCCGTGAAAATTTGGGAGTAGGAAATAATTTTGAATTTGGTATGTGTACCATATTCAAGAAATGTTCAAAACTTGACACCAAAAACAATTAAGTGGCAACTCTTTTGGCCCGTCTGTCAAACAGACACTTTAGTTGACCTAATAACATGGTCTTCTATTAAGTTGAATCTAAAACATAGGCGAATCCATGTAAATATTGAGTGTAGATGTATACCATACAACTATTTTCCACAATCATGGCAATTAAAATATTTCTTTCTGTACTCGAGAATTAAATAGGGGCCTCTTAAGAAGTGTTGCCATAATGAACATTATCTCGCATAATTTAGTACAAAAACCACAAGCAACAAAAAGCACACTGCCAATGCCAAATACACAGAGGTTCATCCATTTGATCAATCAAATTGAATCAAGTACCCTCCATTTGGTTACTGATGCAACATTTAGATAAAAATATATTAACAAACATGGCCACCCAAATATCTCTTTTTGAACTAGAGAATTAAATAAGGGCCTCTTAAGAAGAAATGCCATATCAAACATAAAACCCGCAAGCACCAAAAGCACGGCCAAATCCACACAGGTTCATTCATTTCAATTAATCAGATTGAGTCATGTACCCTCCATTTTTAGATATACATAAACACGTAACCTATTGACAGGTGGCTCAATGATCAGGTCATTTAGTATGTTGCCTAAGGCCAAATTTTCATAAAATTCTTATTCTCAAAGGCCTCAATTCTTTAAGGGTCTAGTTAGCTAAGGCCTAATTTTGATGTTTAGGCTAGCCTAAGGTCTCCAAAAACTTTGAGTCGCTATCGCGTATAGAAATACAAACACAAACAAATGTTAATGCATATAGAGATTTATAATTGTGTTTTGCACATTCATTTTTTCCCTGTATGTGGCCTCATAAGTAAACAATCAAGTGAGTCAAATGCAATTTATTGACCTAGTTAATGTAAGCTTTGCATCAAATCGCAGGGCATATGATAACAGACTTCATTTTTTCCACAATTTCCTCAACATCCAAACAAAATTTCAGTTTCTTGACCTAGTTAAAGTAAACTTTGTATCAAAACGCAGGGAATATGATAATAGACTTCATTTTCATTACTTTTCCACAATTTTCTCAACAACGAAACAAAATTTCATAAAACGACTATCAAAAACCATCACTAGAACCAATAAAATCATCGAATTGAACTCTCAAAACCAACCTTGTCGAGGAGGAAATTGGGGAAGAGTTGATTATTAGTCAGGTAATGTCCACAACAAGGGCAATCCTTTTTGTTGTGAAGGTGAGTGATGATGCACATGTAGCAGAAGCTGTGTCCACACGCCGTGAGGAACGCGTCCTTGATTATCTGCATGCAAATCGGGCACAACAAATCACGGTCAAGCTCATCTGCTGGTACCTCCGCCGTTTCTGTGGCGGTGGCGCCACCGGATTCCGCCGGAGCGACGGCGGAGAAAGGCTTGACTTCCCCCTTCACCGCCGGCACGAGTGCCCCCGTTGATCCCTCGTCCATCTCTCTCTCTCTATATATATATATATATGTATGCAGACTAAGCTCTCTCTGTGAAATGAGTTTGGAGTTGTAGAGATGGTGTGTTAATGGAGGAAAAAGAAGAGATAGAATGAGCGAGCAATAGATTGTGGAGCAGAAATGAAGCGTGATATGTTTGTGTGTGTGAGAGAGAGATAGAGGCCCACGGTGATATCGGTTCTGAGGTCGGTAACGGCCCACGTGATATCTGGAGGGCTGTCTCCCGGTTTCTTCCGGTAGTCGGTCAAAAGTACGTTATTATGGTCCAAGGCTGATAATTTTTATTATTTCCTAGAGCCTTGTCATTTCCTAAGATCGTCTCTTTTTTTTTTAACCAAATTTAAATTTGGTAAAAAGACTTTAATTTTGATATTCCAACATTATCATTAAATTAGTATCAAATTAATAATGTGTTAAATTTTTCATCAAATTGGGCATAACTAGAGCTCTTTATCAAATTACTGTAAATAATCGGTAGAGATACAAAGCATTTAACAGCACCAGACGACTGACCGAATGTCTAACCAATTGTTCTCTAGATGTCCACTTCCTTGCAATTTATAATAAAAATTTACACTGGTCGATCGACTGGCTAGAGGTCCTCCTAGTCGTCCTCTCGATCGACTGGTGATTTGATGAAAATTCAAAATTCTCTATTAAAATGTTCGATATCAAATCAAGTTTTTACTAAAATTTGATAATACAAAAATAAAAATAAAAAAGTAAATGTTGGAGATGCTCTAAGACCATCTCCAATCCAGTACATTTTGTTTCATCAAATTTAAATTTGATAAAAACAAGTGTCTTTTGCTGCTCCGGCCCTATCACCAAATAAGTATCAAATCTAAGATTTTTCAAATCTTTCATTAAATTGAGGATGGATATGTCTATTATCAAATCACTGTTCATAATTGTTGGAGCTGCATGTCATTTTCACTGCCGGACGTAGAGGTGAAATCGGTTCGGTTCGGTTCGGTTCGGTTTTTTCACTAGTTTTGCACCGAACCGATCATTTCGATTTTTCATATTTGTGAACCGAACCGCCCAGAAAAATGACATAAACCGGCGCGGTTCGGTTTATTACGGTGCGGTGCGGTGCGGTTTTTTCGATTTTTCAGTTTTTTGGCCCCTTTTTTTTCCCCTAGTTGGGCCTCACATTTTGGGCCTATATTTCTATCCATTTTGCATAAAATTTGGGCTCAGGCCATGTAATTCCTACATAGGTTTGGGGTCTCACATTTTGGGCCTATTAATATTATATAAGTTGGTTCGGTTCGGTGTGATTCGGTTCAAAAAATCAAAAATCGTAAACCGAACCGAATGTACAGAAAAACATAAACCGAACCGAACCGAACGATTGAAAACTTAAAACACCGACCAAAAATCGTTCGGTTCGGTCAGTAGTTTTTTGGCCCCTTTTTTTTCCCCTAGTTGGGCCTCACATTTTGGGCCTATATTTCTATCCATTTTGCATAAAATTTGGGCTCAGGCCATGTAATTCCTACATAGGTTTGGGGCCTCACATTTTGGGCCTATTAATATTATATAAGTCGGTTCGGTTCGGTGTGATTCGGTTCAAAAAATCAAAAATCGTAAACCGAACCGAACCGAACGATTGAAAACTTAAAACACCGACCAAAAACCGTTCGGTTCGGTCAGTTTGATCGGTCATTCCGGTTATTCTTTCACCCCTAGCCGGACGACTGACCGGTTGTCCTCCTAGATAATTACCTTCTTGCAAAAATTTGTGAAAAAATCATACTGGCCGGTCGACCAGCCGGACATCCACCTGGTCGATCGGTGTTTTAATGAAAGTTCAACATTCTCCGTTAGCGCGCACGATATCAAATGGAATTTTTATACAAATTTGATGGAAGAAAAAAAATACAACATTGGAGATGCTTTAAAAGAGCTACTAAATGATGCTACCTTTCTACTCTAGACCCCTCACTTTTTTGGTTCCTCGCCACCAAAATTGCTTCCCTTTTTATTTTTCTTTGGATCCCTAACATAATCCCAAATATATCCTTTTAACCCCACCCTATACCTTTTACTTGTAACTCCTCATTCATTCCTCCAGCAGTTCCCCTCCCACTTCAACGACCCTTCCCCAATGTCCTTCTCTCTCAGAGACCCGTTAATCTAACTTCCGATCTCCATCCTCGCACTTCTAGGATATCTCACATTCTGGCAGGCACCTCAACCCCTTTTTTTGCCTTCACAACAACTCTTGTCACCATTCGAAAAACTAGTTACAAACAAAAGCCTAATGTTCGGTAGTATGTAGCCTAACAAAAGGCATATGTTTGATTCTGGAGAACCGAACATATTCAACAAGTTCGGTTCTATGTAACCGAACAAAGAAAAATCAGACCAAATTGTGATGTATAGAGAGAAATTGACGCAGAGAGAGAGAGAAATAGAGAGAGAGAGAGTCATGCATGAAAGAGAGTCGATCTACAGTGGGGATCATCAATCTGGTTTCGTTTATCTAGATTGCTTGTCGATCTGGTTTTAGATCTAGGTTGCTAGTAAGAATAAAGATAGCGATGGTCGAGGTCATAGAGGGTAGGCGTTATGACGGTGGAAAGTAGAAGTGGTGGTTCCGAAGGTTATCGATGGAAGTAGAAGTAATGATGGGTTGGTTGCTAGAGGGTGTCAACGGGAATGGAAGTGGTGGTAGGATTATGGTTAGGGTTAGGGTTAAACTTGGAAGGATAGGGATGGGGACAAAATTGGAATTTGATGTTAGGATAAAATTATAATAAAATAAATGAAAGGATCCAAAATAGAAAGATAGGGCATTTAGTAATCCTCTTTTCCTAACCTATTTAGGGGTGGCTCATGCATCCAAAAAGTTTGTTTGGGCACCCCAATATTTTATTTTTTTTAAAAAAAATACCACCATACCCTTAATCAAATTATCAAAGTGACCAAACTCTAAACCTAACTCTGGCCATCTCCTCTCAACTTTGACATTTTTTTGGCTAGACTTTCCAGTTCCGATTAGTCGATTCCCAAAACTCTCCCCGTCGTTGCTTACAATCTACCTCCTATTTCCCTTCTTCTTCTTCTTCTTCTTCTTTTCTTGTTCGCACCTTTCTCTTTATTTTTTGTCCTCATTCCTTTTCTCCTCCTCCTCCTCCTCTTCCTCCTCATCCTTCTTCTTCTTTTTCTTCTTCTTCCTCCTGAAACTCTAGATTTGATCTGTCTGATCTAGATCTAGGGTTTTGGTAAAGAAAAGAAGGAGGAGAAGAAAGAAGAAGATGTGAAACGGTGAATAAAGGGAAGAGAATTGCAGACGACCAAGAGGAGGTGGTAGGCGTTTGAAAGTGAAAATGGTAGTGACTAGTTGCAAAGGGTGGTAGGGGATTATGATGATAGAGAAGGTTCCAAAAAGACTCTGATGTAATGACCCTCATCCTCGTCCCTCATCATCGTCTTAGCCATGTTCATGTGCATCTACATGATTTTGTTTTGTTAAGCTTGCATTTGAAGATTTTGAATTGTTTTGCCTAAGTAAAGGTCCCTGTCTAGTTTTGTGCTTATGTGATTTGCTTGAGTATTGCTTGTATGCTTTGTTCCTTGCTCGGTGTGTGTAACCTAGGTCACACCCTTGAACCTCTTACACCTAGGACCATCTTGGAACCACTTCAGTTGACCTCCATTTTCACTCTGACATATTGGCCGAGATGTCATCATGTAGGCCGAGGTGTGCATCACCTAGGCCGAGATGTGTATCATCTAGGCTGAGATGTTACCATCTAGGCATCCTTGATCCTTGCACCTAGTGATCTTGTTCCTAGACTGGTATTGTCACGCCCCAAACCCGCCCCTAGAAGTTTGGGCATGACCACTTCAGAAACGGACACTTAACCTGTTTTATATCTATATTTATAGGGCCTGAACGGAAGCACTAAATATAAAAATTTGACACTAGAAACAAACTCCATCGAGCTACTACTATCATGCTAGGATCACAAACTTTTAACAAACAAATAAAATTTAAAACATACACCTGAACATCGGTTATATACATACATATATACAGACCCAGCCCTATTATTGGGCATATACAAAAACATGAGAGCTATACACATCACTCTTAGATAGACATTCAAAAAGCAAGCCAACATCTTATCAGCTTAACAAAATCAATGACTGTGTATAGTGCCTGGACACACGAAGGTTGACAAAAGAAAGCAGCGCCATGGCTAAGACTAACCATCTGATTGGTGACCTACAGAAAAAGACATAACAGAGAGTGAGCCGGACTCAGTGAATAGTAATACATAAATAAAACGATGCTTAATTTGAAACATAACACAGGGCAATGCATATAAAGATGTAGAGTTCACATAGTTAGTATGATTCTGAGCTAAGTACATAATGGCCTTAGGTTCAATCTTGCAACATAAACATGGTGGCTATAAGTCCTTGAAACATGTGGCATGAAGCCCTTATAACATATGGCACTAAGGCCCTTGAAACATGTGGCATAAAGCCCTTGTAACAAAGAACTTGTAGGCCCTTGAAACATGTGGCATAAAGCCCTTGTAACATATGGCACTAAGGCCCTTGAAACATGTGGCATAAAGCCCTTGTAACATATGGCACTAAGGCCCTTGAAACATGTGGCATAAAGCCCTTGTAACATATGGCACTAAGGCCCTTGAAACATGTGGCATAAAGCCCTTGTAACATATGGCACTAAGGCCCTTGAAACATGTGGCATAAAGCCCTTGTAACATATGGCACTAAGGCCCTTGAAACATGTGGCATAAAGCCCTTGTAACATATGGCACTAAGGCCCTTGAAACATGTGGCATAAAGCCCTTGTAACATATGGCACTAAGGCCCTTGAAACATGTGGCATAAAGCCCTTGTAACATATGGCACTAAGGCCCTTGAAACATGTGGCATAAAGCCCTTGTAACATATGGCACTAAGGCCCTTGAAACATGTGGCATAAAGCCCTTGTAACATAT